GAAACATTTAGTTGTAGTTATTGCTGCCCATGGAGGGCACACCAGTTACTGAAAGCAAAGGTTCACATACTTTTGCCACACACAAATTTATAGTTTTGGATCATTTCCCTCAATAACTAAATGAACAAGTATAATGTTTTTGACTCATTTATTTAACTGAGTTCTCTTTATCTAATTTTAGGACTTGTGTGGATAACAGATGCCATTTTAGGTCATATTTATACAGAAATATAGAAAATCAAAAGGGTTCACAAACCTTTAGGCATCACTATACCTGACGTTTTTCTATACAAGGGAGTTCCTGGGCTAATCATGATGGAGTACTGCTGTACACATATAGGGCTTTTCTCAGACATGTCAGATATGTGAAGGTTGTCAAGTATGGCTATCAGACATGATGGGAATAGTCACAAGCACCTGACTACTCCCTACAAATCCTTGATATTGTTTTTGGAAGTAAAAGGGGTTCTTGTACAACCTCCACCAGACATTAATATGTGAAAATGAAAAGAAAAAGAACAGAACTCTATTATTTTGGAAAGCAGTGCAGTGATTTGGACTTAAAGGAGAAGCTGATGCTTCAGTTGGGGGCACAAACATATTACCTGTGTTCCATTCTTAGAGCATCTGTTTCTTTTTTTGGGATCAGGTAGCCTTTGGTTTAAGAAATGGCAGACAGGTGCTACATTTGCATCCCCACACCCCATGTTCATTTTTTACCTTCAGAACTGAAATGCCGCACAGCCCAATTACTTTATGCTGTGCTGAGGCAGTGCCTAACATGCCATGCTTCTAGTGGCACTTTGGTTACTGCACAAAATTGGAGATCTGCACTTAAATGACAGATAAGGGAAAAGAGATCAGCAACCGGTGGAGTCATCATGCATTCTTTGTATCTATTACTAATGCGTATTCTCCATTGTCATGTGTTCACTGAGAACTGCATTAAAAATACTGTTGATAGAGTGGTGCCTCTGTAGGCGAAGAGTCTTCCCTGAAATGCAGTTAAACTCCTTTCTCCTGCTTTGATCTCCTGATGAATTCTGTATTATTTTCACTCAGTTTCTAATGTTCATAATTATATCAATTTCATAAGTATATGAAAATTAGCATTCCTTTTCTAGTGGTAATTGCTTCTTTCCATAAAACAAGGAAAATTCTAAGCATCAGTTCTGTGGGTGGCTTCTATGTGGTACATCGGTCAGTTTCTTCTGTTTTCAAAGTTGATACCTCCAATATCTACCCCATTTTACCTGTTGTTTTTCTCCTGTCACACAGAATAATTTAAACTAGACATACAAAACCTCACACTGAATAATTTAAACTAGACAAGGCCTGCTTGTGTAGTTCTGACCAATCATCAACCCACTTTCATTTTCAGCTCAAATCATTTGTCTCCTGTGATTCTAGCTTGAATCAGCTCCCTGTTACTTACAATAGCTAAAAGTTGCCAGTGACACACAACTTCTGTGTAAGGCTCAACTGGGAGACCTGGTTTGCAGTTCTTCATTCTTTCATCTGATATTCTATGGATGGAGGGGAGGGGAGTTCATGGGAATCTTTAGCCTATGAACTGAGTTTTACAACTGTAAATATCAGAATGGAACCTAAAGAGAATGGAGTGTCCTGGTTCTTTCACAAATGGATGCTATGTGTAGCAGGCTCAACTGGGAGACTGGGTTTGCAGTTCTTCATTCTTTCATCTGATATTCTATGGATGGAGGGGAGGGGAGTTCATGGGAATCTTTAGCCTATGAACTGAGTTTTACAACTGTAAATATCAGAATGGAACCTAAAGAGAATGGAGTGTCCTGGTTCTTTCACAAATGGATGCTATGTGTAGCCCAGCTGTTTGTTTGTAAGTGATCTCTAGACATATTACCCAATGATCAGTACTGTGAAATCACTGTGATCTAACAAGGGACCAAAGTCTTCTGCAGGAACAAAAGAATGGAAATAAC